GGAACGTGTGCAAAGCTGTAAAACTATGCACCCACACTCTCCGTTCCCGTCTCCTCCTCCTCCTCCGCCCACTCCGCCCCCTCCCACACACCATTCACCTTCAGCTGTACCGCAACTCGCGCGCCAATCTGACGCCTCAAGTTTGTATTTTTTCATTTCTCGCCTCGTGTGTTTTTTTTTTGTTTTTTTCTTCTGTGCTTACCGAAAAAGTTTTTTGATTAGGAGCTCAACTAAAGAGCAGCCAACAAAATGCAATAAAATGAAGTTTATTAAATTTACAGTTATGTGCGTGTGTGCGAGTGTGCGTGTTGGTCCCTTTTTAAACGAATCAAATTAGTGGAGGGCGACGTGAGAAGTGTGAATGGAAATGCAATTGAAAAGTTGAGCGCTAAATGGCCGATTAGGGCGACAAGGGTAGGCATCTTGAGTGTGTCAGGCATGCGTGTAAAACTGACCATAAAAAAGCCATCTGTGTTCAAGGAATATGTTTGTATTTAGTTGGGTTACGATGCCAAACGAAGTCCCATTTATGCTGATCGCGATTAAAGGAAAAAGGAGCGGACAAATATTGTGGAAAAATATCAGCTGAGAACAGTTAAGAAACTGCTTTTTGAACTCTTTATTAAATAAGAATGCTTATTTTAATAGTAACTAATAATTGGCTATAATGTAAGGAAACAAATATTATAATATCCTGTTTTATAATACATTTCTTGTTTCACTTCGCTAAAAAAATCCTGGCGCCTGTAATAGCTTAATAGCTGGCAAGAATCCCACAATGTGAGTGTGTTCCTGAGTAAATGACTCGGTTCGAATCAATGCGCTACTATCATCGGATAAGCATGATTTAAAAATTATTTGCCGTCACTTATATTAAAATTTGAAACCGTTGTATTATGGTCTAAACTGCACAACAAACTAAAATTAAGAAAAAAAAATGTATAATACAATTTATAAAAATTTAGTTAATCCTTTTGTAGCGCTCTTGCCTATCACTCAGCCAAACGAATGTAAATTATGTTTATGTTCATGTTCCGTAAACAAGGGTGTATTGCGGAATCTTAAAAAAGAATGGTTTTTCTTGTTTATTTTTAGCTGATGAAGGAAGTTATTTTAAATTCTAAAACATTCGATTTGAAAAGAAACTTCAAAATTTTCAGCTAATATCGGCCTTTCAGTAAGCATAACTCTTCTGTTGGTCTTATTGTGGCATATTACATATTTGTCATGTGTTCGTATTTCTCATGTGACGATGCCTGTCTTGCGTTTTCGCCGAAGATTAAAATAAATGTCAACTGGAAAGTAGGCAATAAATATTTTATTTTATTTTATTTCACATGTTCCTCTGTTTTTCTAGCAAATCATTCAAAATGTATTATTAATATGCACATGGCCATGCATTTTTGATCTGGCGCAAATAAATAGATTCGTTGGCGGCTTTGCTCAGTTATGCGTACTTAAATGGCAGCAATGTTTATTATTATACATTGCGCATACGTCACGTATGCCGAAAGCAACCGCAAAATCGTCTCACAGCACATTTTCGACGGGACTGTGTGATTACATATTAACAATTTATGCGCGACATGAATAATATAGCATCTGCAGGGTACATCAGATAGAGCGTGGAGGGGCCAGTTGGGGACCAAATCACATATCCTCCTGATGGAGGCATAAGTCTGCGGTTTTGTTGCGTTGACAGCGCTGTGCGTTCGTCTAACAGGCTGCTGCACAAAATGTCTGCTTACGCCATTTGCAAATGGAAAGCGTTTAAATGCCACAATGGAAGCAATTTGTTGTGGGCATCACTGAAGATGCCAACGCCGAAGCAGTTCTCACACACACACACACACAGAGACACACCACCATACCCATATTGACAGCAATGGACGCAGCTACAGTTACAGCCACACCGGAGCAATGATTTATGCGACTGTGCGTGCTTGTTTGTGTGTGTGTGTGTGTGTGTGTGTGTGTGTGTGCGCGCAAGTTGTAATGTTGAAGTAAGACACATGTACATATGTACTCTAACAAATCAATTTTAGTGCCAAACACACAGCTGTACGGCAAACTATGCGATCACACAAGTCACGAGTCGTGTCCGACCATGGTCTGGTTCACCTTTTGACAGCAACATTTTTACGCTTTCCAAGCTCGAAAACTTCAGGATACTCGAGCGTTTTTTTCATTAAAGACTTCGCTTCTCCCATTCAGCGGAATTGAAGAGCATTTAAAACAACAACTATAAAGCGGTTCAAATGTCTATGCCAGTTCCCAACAAAAAGGCTTATTTTTTTTCAATTGTTTGTGAAGGCCAAGGAAGGACTTTTTGAATAACTGCTTAGAAAGTAGGCACAAATACATTTGTGTGCTGTTCTACTTTAAAAAGGGGTTTAGTTGCCTAATTTTGTAAATTTAAAATTGTTTTATTGCTGCCCACGAAAAGCTTAAAAAGTGAACAAATATGAACAGATTAAAATTGATCTTTTACAAACTGCAAGTTACCCAAAACAAAATTTAAAATGCATCACGTACTGAAATAGTAGCCGATAGGCTTTCACGTTTAACTCGTAATTTTCTTGACAGGTGTACTTGTTCTTCATATTCGCATATTATTAGCATTGCATCAAATTCTTATTCTTAAGTGTTAGTATAGTTTAAAGGTACTGAAAAGTAAACTACTCATGGGTTTCTGATTACATTTTTCCTCCGCTTTTTTACATATTAGAAACTGTCCGTTCACTCATAAACTGTAAAAACACACTTGATATATATTTAAGTTGATCAGGTTTTATAACCTGTACTCTTTATTATTAACTAATTATAGATACACACCAATTTATAATGCTACCCAATCCCCATACATATGTATTCCTACTTTTTTCTTTAACACTGTAAAATGTACATACAAAGTTAGCTGAAGGCCCTAGTAGCCATGGCTAACATAATTCTCTTCTGTTAGTTTTAAGATTTTAATCTTAAGCTAGCATTATATAAATAAATAAAATAAGTAATGCTAATTTTTGTGAGTAAATGAAATGAAATTAAAATTGATCTCATTCTAAATAAATGACTTAAATAAAAAGCTGAATTTCTTAACTAGCACACAATATTGTGCACAGCTCTGAAAAGATCTGGCCTTACCTTTGTCTGCTGAAGTGTTTTGCTTCGATTGAGAAATGCCTTCAAACCAGCCACTTCCTTGCTTGAGTAAAAATGTTGAAATTTGAACGATGTCGACTTATAAGCTATGTCCATGCAGCCCACAGTGCTTGCAAAGGCTTGTGTGTGTGCTTTTGGCCACAACTCGTTCGGTCATATTACGAGTACGTCCGCTAAACATGATTGAACTTTTTCTCAGATAACCAGTCAGCCAGCCAGCCAGCCAGTCAGTCAGTCAGTCAGTCAGTCAGTCAGTCAGTCAGCCATTGAGCCAGTCAGTTGGTTAGCCACAGAACAGAAAGCGAAATTCATAAACGCGTCAGAGCATAGCACCACCCTCTCACACCACCCTCTGTCTATCACCACCACCGTACCATGTTACAGTCCATGCTCCAGTACTCGCGCCCTGTCACTTTTGATTGTAATCGAGTGTTTTTTGTAGCTATGCCTCATCTATTTTCATGCCCCTTGGTCCTCTTGCCGACGCCTTCAATCCACACTGTCAAACCGTTTGATATAGTCGTGCTTTGCTTTGCAAACTGTGGTCCACATCCATCCACATCCCGGGGTCCACGTTCACGTACACGTCCACGTCCACGTCCACGATTACGTTTACGTTTACGTCGATGTTCATGTCCTCGATCTCGTTGTGTGTTTGCCAATTGGATTTGACATTTTATTGGTTTTCTTTCTCGTTACTGCCGCTTGGCTGACTGTGGTGTAGTTGTTGTTGCCGATGCTGCTATTGTAATTGATGTGGTGCCTGTTCAAAGTTGCTCGAAACATAAATCTAATGACTACCAGTGCACTGGCTTGCGGTTCCTTTCCTATCCTCTACCCTGCTCTGCTCAGCTCAGCTCAGCTCAGCTCAGCTCAGCTATGCTCCGACGACTGTCAGAGATTGAAATCGCGTGTTTCGTTTTTATTTGGGTAATTAGTACGAAAGGGAGGCAACTTGATTATCGAGCCATGGAACTGTGGTGGCGATGCTCAAATTGCAACATTAATTTTCTTTGGGCTTAGACTACTGCCTGTCATAAAATAGCAAGCTGCCTCTGGCTTCCTTACCCGCTGGCCTTATGTGGGTGTGTTGTATGATTTGGGTATATGTTGGCGGGTCCCAAATGGATGTGCACAACCGATGAGCGAGAGATCGAATTAGATAGCAAGCGTTATGGCTTGTTACGTGTATTTTGAACCTACAGGAGATTGCAGGCTTTGCACCTTCCAGCAGGCCCTTTCCCATAGCCTTGCACGACAGTGTAACCGGAATCTAATTCCCAACATATTAGCCTTACACGCGAACTTTGGCCCGTGGATCGAACCTTTTCAGACCCGAATTGGGCTGTGTGAGTCCTTAAAGAGCTGTGCTTAAATGATTAGTTATTGTCCCTGGAAACGAATTACAAAAATAATATGTTTCCACTGCCCGTAAAACTTTAATGTGAAATATAGTTTAAGTGGCGGTTTATGCTTCGTTTTCATGAATTCGAATTCAAAGATATTTAAAATAGGAGCTCGAGTAACTCTTTTTAACTAACAATGCCCTTCAAAACTACAACTAAACTTAACAGAACAAATGCATTTATAACTTCAAAGCGATAACTGATGAAGATAATAATCCGAATGTGAGTGAATTAGTCAGCCAGAGTCCGATATTTATGTTAAAATGTAATCAAATAATCTTACGGGCTTCACTCAACTCAGAATATTAATGTTGTAACAATCGTCCGTAACCTTCAGTTACATTTTGCAATATATTTAACAGTTTTGAAATAAAAATGCTCAATAAGTTTAAGGGACTTGAGGTTAATCTTAATTTGTCTTTTTGCTTACAGGTCTGTCGGACACAAAACTGCACGAAGTCTATTTGGACAACAAGGAGATCAAGCTCAGCTGGATGGTGGATTGGTATAAGCAGGAGGTGTTGTTCCATTTGCAGAATGCCTTCAATGAGCAGCATCGCTGGTTCTATTTGGGCTTCTCGAAACGTGGCGGCTTGGCCGATGCGGATATTTGCTTTTTCGAGAATCAAAACGGTTTTTTCAATGTTGTCACGGACACCTATACCAGCCCAGATGGGCGCTGGGTCCGCAAGGACTATCAACAGGACTGTGAGCTCTTCAAAATGGACGAATATACGCTGGCTTTTAAGCGCAAGTTCGACACTTGTGATCCGCTCGACTTGCGTATGCATGTAAGCTCAAAAAATGGAGCTTCGAAAAGATCGGCAAGTAATCATCGTTTGTTCGAATTCTTTCAGGAGGGTACCATGTATGTGGTATGGGCGCGTGGCGAAACAGAGCTCGCTCTCGAGGATCATCAGTTTGCGTTGCCCAATGTGACAGCACCACACGAGGCCGGCATCAAAATGTTGCAGCTACTGCGGGCTGACAAAATCTTAATTCCCGAGACGTAAGTAGGACAGCTTCTTTATTTCTTCCTCGTAGAGCCTAGGCTGCACGATGAGTCGTTGTTTGTGGCAGGAGAGTGTCCTTTAGAAGCACTTTCTCTGAGTCTATAATATCAGATATTTTTTATAGAAATCTCTTAAGCTTGAGAACCAATCATAATTAAAGAAATAAATACTCTTTATGTGCGCAGGATGAGTTTTTATTTGTTGCAGAAGAGTCTCCTTGGTTGCTCTTTCTCTTAAAGTCTATTATGTAAGATATTATGTAGATCAAATTATATTTAATTTCAATTTTTTGTTAAAAGGTAGCAGTCAACAATTTTGAGTTTAATTTATTTTAATATTCCATCATTCGTTGTTGTAGAAACAAGTTTTTCGTTTCATTCAATATTTAAAGTTGTTCTCATAGGCTTTTAATTTTTGTCGAGAACAAAAGTTAACCCGCGTTATTTATAAATTTTTATAAAAAGCAGACACCGATTATTAACTGTTCCCTTGAAAAATGTGAAGCTAAGTGACGGTCCCATCTGACTTCTGTAAATCGATCAAAAACTGGTATTCGCTGGATGCAGAGCATTTCCCGATCTACTTAAGCATAATGTCTAATGTCTTTCTTGGCAGCGATTTGCATGAAATCGAAATAAAGCTGCAGAAGACGCCAGTGCCGGTGCGCGAGACCACTTATTGGTGTCATGTGCAGCGCTTGGATGACTTTGTGAAGCGACGCCGCCACATCGTGCAGTTCGAGCCGCTGGTTAAGTCGGCGGGGGTCGTGCACCACATGGAGGTGTTCCATTGTGAGACGGATGCGCATGTCGAAATACCGCTATACAATGGGGACTGCGAACAGTTGCCCGCTGCGGCCAAGGTCTGCTCCAAGGTGATGGCATTGTGGGCCATGGGCGCCAGTACTTTCACTTATCCGCCAGAAGCTGGGCTGCCGGTGGGCGGAAAAGATTACAATCCGTATGTGCGTCTCGAGGTGCACTTCAATAATCCGGAGCTACAGAAAGGTGAGTGCAAATTGATGAATTTGTTCATTTTTTCATTTTTTTTGTGGTGTTTTTTGTTTGCACTGCAGTTCGCAGTTTTCCATTTACTTTACAAATTCATTGAAATTAGCATGAGAACGTTCTTCGACAGAAATGATTAATATTGATTTTATTTGTAAATTCTTGGCAGTTCTTATTAGATTTAACTCGGCATTGAGTTGAGCTCTTCATTATCGTCATTAAATTGTGTTGAGCTCAGCTTTAAATCGTGTATTTTTATGAATCATTGGTATTTGAGTTTGCTTTTAGTGTACACTAGTATTTTTATATCAGGACTTTTTCTCCTTCATATTTTAAGCAATCTCCAACCCTACAATGAATTTATTTACTATGGATTTCAAATGTTTTCAATCAAATATTGCCTGCACCCTAATATATGGAATACATAATGTATTTAAAATGCATTTCTTCGCTCGCCCACCGAGCTGTTTAATATAATAATTTAATTAAATTAACTTAATTTATTAATTTAATAATAGTTGTATATTTGGAAACAAGCCTTACACACAAAAATGATTTATTACTTAACTTTCTTTACCCGGAAAAAGTTTGAAGTTATTTTAGCTCTAGCAAGTTTATCCTTGATGTATTATCATAAAACTTATATAGTTGCAGTATTTCCATATCTTTGAAAATCCAGTTTATCTGCAATTTACTTTTTGGACACCTTATTTAAAATTTGTGAATTAACATTTTCTCCCCATGAGTCGACTTTTTATCCATAGTAATTATCATATCTATTACGACTCATAAGCGTTCAGTATAATTTTTAGAGAGCGGAACTATTTAGGCGGGACATATTTATATTTAAAATGAAATTGAAGCAGCTCCAATTTGTATTTATAGTCATGTCTTTAAAGCGCTCCATTCTGCTTCATTTACTTCGCTTTGAAGTGTTTAAAGCGTTTCCGTTTATTTTCAATCGAAAAACGTGTTGTCAACTTATTAGCGTTGTTTCTATCTTATATGCTCGCCCTGACCTGCAATTTGGCGCCTCATCACATCAATAATTTCACATTGCAATCTTGACCTTCGCTGCCAGCTAACGTGACCAAGGCCTGGCTTCAAATGACTCAAAGGATGGCAACTTGAGCGCTGCCTCACACACTCGCATTTCATTAAAACTTTATTTAAACAGCAGCAAGAGAAACAGCTAAGGCAGTTGGAAGGACCAAAGCAATGTCATTATTGCCTGTCGCTGTGGGCGTTCAAATACCAGTCGCGGCGACTGTTTGTCCTTGTGTTTTGCCACATGCTCGACAAATAGCGCTGACTGAGATTGGGACTGGACATGAGCAAAGGGACTCGCATGTTTGTACAGTCACAGCTCAAATAATGCGTTTCATTCGTTCCTGGCTGTGTACGCCTCTTTCAAAATTGCATAAATAAAGGAAATGAAATCAATTGTAGCTTTCGAAGAAAATGCCATGTTACAAAATTGAAAGTCCCAGGAAAAGGGCAAAGTAACACACTGATGAGTTAAACGAAAGGAATTAAGCTTAGATGGTGAATAAAATGCATCAACAGGAAAAGAAATTGAAGAAGAAATGGACGGGTCATCTGCAATAAATGAAAGAAATACGAAAAACATAGTGGGTGCTGTGAACGTTATTCCATCAGATGGAAGGGCACGTGTCTGCTCTTGCTTGGCGTTGGCAAGTGGCCAAGACTCGAGTTCCATTTCCGCATACAGTAGGACCTCAAAAAATGCATTCCCTCCTACCGTGTGAACTTACAAATTTTTGCAAGCTATTTGTAATAAGTTAACAAATTAAAATTCATTGTTTTGCAACTACAAGCAACAAATGCCTCGCGCCTTTAAAAGCAATATTATTTATTTAAATTTTGAACAGGCAAAACAATACACATATGAATGAATGGCAAAAATAAACACATATTTTAAACGAATTTCCTATTTTTTTTAACAAGCTGTTTGTTAATTAATTTGAAGATCAACCATCAGCTTTAACTCCAAATTATTTATATAAATCAGTAATTAATTATATGAAAACAATTTTCAAAAAGTGTAATTAATAATAATATTATTAACGAAATCAGTACACATAAAATGGATGACAAAACTAAACATATATTTTTTATAGATTTTCTATTTTCTAGTTTCTTACAAATCAACCGTCAGCTTTGACTCTTCGCCTATAATTGTTGCAAAATCATTTCTATAAATCAGTAATTAATTACTTCATTACAATTTTTAAAAAGTGTAATTTCTGCCTGGACAACAAAAAAAAACACTTTCTTTTGTGAATTATTTTTATTATTCTTTGCATTTTGTTTCTTACTATTTTAGCTGTGCTGGGCTTAAAATTCATCGTATATTTAAATATAATTACTTTCTATTTTTTGGAATGTCTGCTTCGATTTATTTCGCAATGAATATAAATTTTATCCGCACTAACATACCGATTGCTCACCACAGTGCTTATTTGACATCGTCGGCTTCATTGCTTAATAACGAACCAATTCAAACGACACGCTCCTTAATGTACTATAATTGTGTTTATAGACAGTAAGGAGCATTTACATTTCCTGTTAGCCCTGAGCCAAATTGTTGTTGCAGTTTCTAATTAGCCGGCTGGCAAAATCGCACTACGCTTTATACGAGATCTGACTGTAGTTGTGCGAATGTGTAAGTTCTGTGTGGGTGAATGACAGAGTGAAAGAACGAGAGAGAGAGAGAGAGAGAGAGAGAGTTGTGTAATTTGGCGTTTATTTGTTATGTATTCAGCCGCATGTTCGCTCCCCTTTTCGCACTCTATCAAGCAATGCGCTTGTTGTAGTAAGGATGTTAAATGTAACTGCACTATTGCAATATTAATATTAATCATACGCCATGTTCGCCCCACATTCAGGCCTGATTGACAGCTCCGGCTTTCGCATCAAAATGTCCAACACATTGCGCCAGTACGATGCTGGTGTCATGGAGTTGGGCCTGGAGTACACGGACAAAATGGCCATACCCCCCGGACAGACAGCCTTCCCGCTCAGCGGCTACTGCATTGCTGAGTGCACGCATGTGGCCCTGCCCCACACAGGCATTATCATCTTTGGATCCCAGTTGCACACGCATTTGAGGGGCGTCCGCATCCTGACGCGCCATTTTCGTGGCGAGGAGGAGCTGCGCGAGGTGAATCGCGATGATTACTACTCGCATCATTTCCAGGAGATGCGTACGCTGCATTACAAGCCGCGCGTTCTGCCGGTAAGTTTTACGGCTTTATCACGAAACATTTATTTATCAGATATAATACTAATAATATACCCGTACCAGCCAATGACAATTACAAACAAAGCATAATGAAAACTAATGATAAGCTCTCAAAATATGATCGTTGATTATGCCGCTAGCTGACAATATTACAATCTACTCGTATTGCAAATATAATATCATAAAAGCTTCTTGAAGGCTTTGGAATGAAGTACACATATAGTATGTTATTAAAAGTGAGGCTAGCTCTTTAGTCATTGTTTTCAATTTTTTATTAATTCTTTTCCACAATTTTGTATATAAATCTATAATTCAACATGAAATAAAAACGTAAGATATCCCAAATTATTAATAACAAAAATGAACAATTTACAAATAGTACTGAAAAAGTTTACCCACAAAGAAGTCACTTTACTCAGCAAATAAGTGTATTTGCAACTTCTTTTTGGCGATCTTAACTTGATCTTAACTGTTCCTTGATTGCTTCTTAATTAATAGAAAAGAAATGTGTTTTTGTTATAAAGAAAACAGGATGTTTCATATCCACCTAACCGGCCATTGTTAAATACATTTGAATTGATTTAAAAGAAGTAAGTTTGGAAAGTGAACAAGCATTTCAAGACGTGAAAATAGAATTTTCTTACGAATTTATATTTCCAAGTCGCATTAAGGCGTTAGGTAAAATTGCGTGAAGAGAGAAGATTTTGATATATTTCAAGCCGCTAAGATTAGCATACTTTTCTAAGATTAGAAACTTCCGCGAACCAACGAAAACTTCAACAGCATACTTGCCATTCTTCGTAACAAATCTTTTCCTGTTTACTCTCTCCCTCCCTCTTTTGCGATTGGACCCGTGTGTTCGCAGGGCGATGCGCTGGTTACCACCTGCTACTATAACACCATCGGTATGCCGAATGCGACGCTGGGCGGCTTCTCCATCAGCGACGAGATGTGCGTCAACTATATACACTACTATCCGGCCACCAAGTTGGAGGTTTGCAAGAGCTCCGTATCAGAGGAGACACTGGAGAATTACTTCATCTATATGAAGAGGTAAGCAAAACTACACCGCCGACAATGTCGATTTCGATGTCAACGTCAACGTCAACGTTAACGCCAGCAGAGCAGAGCAACACAACAGAGCACACAGCACATACTGACACTTTTTCAAGTGGTAACTTTTTAAGTGGCTTGGTTTGGCTTCTGGTTTGGGTTCGCCGCGCAAAGTTTTACAAAAGGCTTGGTGCGACTTTTGTTTTTTAACGTGTTGTTCGCTTTGTTGTCGCTCATTGTGGGTGGAGATGTGGCAGTGGGGCTCCGCAGCGCCCAACAATTAGGCCGCGTCCCCCGGGGCGCCTCCATGTCGCACACAAAAGTGCTAATGGAAGAAATACTTTTTAATCTACGCACGCTCCAAAGCCGCTGCGTTCCCTACGCACCGCGCTGTCAAACTTCATACGCGACTGCCTGAGCAGGAAGAGAGCAGGAGGTAGCAGGAGCGAGCAGGAGGAAGCAGATGGGAGGTGTGCCTGAATTTGTGCCGCCTGTGCTTTGGCATCTTCATCAAAGGCCAAAGCTGCTAATTCTTCTCTCCTCTTCTTCTTTTTCTTGCATAGCATATTCATAACAAAGAAATGAATGCGATGAATGCGCCGGCAGGCGAAGGCCTTCACTGAGATGGCAGGAGGGTGGCAGGAGCTGAGCTTGGGGCTTACGCTTGTACTAATTGTGAACGCTAATAGGCAGGTCCAAAAAGAGAGAAAGTATGGCATATTTCTTATTTATACCCCCTTGAGTTGGTTGCCACTGCTCAGATTAAATCGCGTGCTACTCGTAGTAGAGCAAGGCGAAGCTGCAACAAGTAAGGATAAAGCCATGGAATATGAAGCTCCTTTAGCATCTCCGTGTTCACTTTAGAAGGTGTTCAAAAATAGTAATTTGTCGACTTACTCAAGGGTTCCAATTCTGGCAGTCCCCAGTTATGACAAGAGAAATATGTGGTCAGACAAACAAATTCATCCAATTGTCAAAGTAAGCGTTAAAAGACACATTTTCAAATAACTCCGTTATTGTCGTTGATTAAAGTAATATTGATATTGTGAAATGGGTATAAAAATGAAGTAAAATAAAAAAATAGCGGCAGAAAACCCAACTCTGCTTTCGCTTGACATTGACAGGAGGTCGAGCAGCCCAAACTTCAAGACAGTCCTTCTACAGTCCAAACTCGCAAGCTGGAAAATATTGCACTTTATTGTTAATTGCACAATTTTCAATTTCCAATAAGTGAGCGGGCCTATCTATTTCGCTTTCAGTCAGTTTCTTCAGCAATGAACATTGATTTGAAAAAAGCCATTTTTGGTGAAATGGTGGGCTTTTCATTTCAAAATGCCGTGCAACCGTATTTGGGAGTTGTGTTATTTGATTAAGTACTGTACTCGCATTTTCAAAGCCAGCTCAATGGAGGAAATGTCAAAAATGCCAAAAGAAGATTGGAAACAAGCCACTCGAGCATTTCCTAATTGATATTACATGCCTTGTCGATTTCTCAGCACTTTCTTTGCCAGTATCACACACACACGCACACACTCTGTTCTGTTCTTTTCTGCTTTCAATCACTCGTTCTCTCTCGCTCTCGCTCTCTCTTATCCATTCACTCACTCACTGAACTCTCATGGTTGCTGGTGTTGTCATTCGCAGGAAGGAGCATCAACACAACATGCGACTGAACGGCGCACGTTCGTCGAATTATCGCGGCATTGAATGGACGCAGCCTCGGGTTGACCAACTCTATACCATGTATATACAGGAGCCGCTTAGCATGCAGTGCAACAAATCGGATGGCACACGCTTCGATGGATACAATTGGGAGGGTGCGCCAACGACGCCCGTCCAAATCAAGATGCCCGTCCATCGCAAACTCTGTCCCAACTACAATCCGTTGTGGCTAAAACCACTGGAGAAGGGTGAATGCGATTTGTTGGGCGAGTGCATCTACTAGACATGGACGTGGAGCATGGGCATGAACATGGCATGTTGACAGAGCACACCCACACACACATACACCCACGCACATTTACAGAGATTCTCGCACAAACACTCACTCGCACCCTAAACAGAGGGCCAGCCAATGTGAGCGGAACTGGATTACACATGGATTATAGTTTGTTTTAGTTGTCCTGTTTGTTTCTCTACCTTCCTTTCGTTGCTGTTGCTGTTGCTGTTATATTTATTGTTGTTCGTTGCCGTCGTCGTCATCAGGAGCGGTCACAGCCGCCGCAGTAGCAACGTTCTTATATTTGTAGTTGAAAAGTAAACAAGAAAAGGAGAGAAAACACGCCATGCCACAATAAATGGGAACACACACAAATACAAACACAAACAAACATAAATATCTATAGCAGGAGGCAGCTAACCGTTGGCGCCGACCAATGCAAGGACATCGAGTGAAAGCGATGCAATTTTCGCAAAGACAAAAGGCACAACAAAAATGTTTTCACTTTTTAAATAACTAATGATTTTCACTCTTCTTGCCGCCGCCTGCTGATGCTTTCGGCTTCCGTTTGTTGTTTTTGTCTTGGCTGTCATGCCGCGAGGCTAAGCGTTTAATGCAAAGCAAAGGACACACATACACACACACACACACACACACACACACATAGATACACAGAAAGGGCAGCCGCAGCAAACAATGCCAGCTCACAATTTTTGTAGCATACTTTTGAGCGCTTGCCGAAGCAGTAAGAGAAAGAGTAGAACAAAAAATTGAAGAAAAGACAGCAAAAGGGTCGCCATTTTCAAAAACGGTTTAAATGCGCTAAGGGCAACATTGTTTATACAATATAAATGCGTAAACTTTGTTGACGGCCAACGCAATTGTAGCGTAAAGAATGCGAGTGCCAATTATAATTAGCATGGAGTTTGTAACAAAATGTTCGTTTCGGGGCCAAAACACATTGTGTTTGACACGATCAAAGCAATGCGAAAGGCTTATCTGTCACAAATGATGTAGACTATGATATACAAGTATATTGATGTATTGTATTGCATTAGAGTTTCAAAACAACCGAGCACACTGCAAGAAAAAACACAATACATATTATTTATGCAAGTAAAAAAATGAATGTCTATTGGTTTTTTTTTAATTTGATTTAGATATGAGCGTCAGGATAAAATAAATCATCATTTCTAATCACAATATGGAGAATATTTAAGTATATATTACCACTTCTCCCGGCTTTTACTCTTTGGTCGTAAGACAAAAGTATTGAGAACCCACCGACTGATCATCCTGCATGCTCCTAAACTATTCACGACTGCTTATTGAGCCTCTTTAGTCTCTTTATTTTATAGATTAATATGCATCCTTAGGCAGTTTTTGAACCTACTTGCTACAAAAGCTATTATTCTTTTTGTCCTTACCTCTATACTCATGTAATACTTAACCCTTTTCATTAAACTGATGGACAGCTCTCTGTAGTATTTTTATCAAAAGCCATTCAACAAAACAAGGCAAAAATTGCGCATTATTTCTGACATGATCTCTAGAGCATAGAGACCAATGTTTTTAGCATTGAAGTCCCGTCAAAAAATTAAATGAGCGGTAACTTGAAGTCTTACTTGTATTATACACATAGTGTTGCAATTATTCCCAGTCAAAATAATATGGCACAATGGTTGTTTTTTGTACTACAAGTATACTCGTAATTTTTGCTTATGATGCGTTTTAGCTAATAGCGAGCTATTTTAAAAATTATTTAAATACAATATGTATTATTAACTTTTTATCTAAGTGCTTTCTATATACTATAGTGTATACCTTCATATATACATATAGCATGTTACATTGGCTAGAGACAAACTTCAGCTAAAAGCTGAAGGAAATTGTTAGCTTTCTCACTCACAGCACAACACTTGACTTCGTTTGGTCTCTGTTTACATACCTATAAGTATGCATGCAGATATATATAGACACACACACACACACACGAATACGTATATACAAAAAAAAAAAAAACAGACTGGCATTTATTTCAACAAGCAGTACTCATAGCCAGTTGCTTTTTTTCGAAATTGTTTCCTTTGTTTCCTTTTTTGTCGTATTTTTTATTTATGTTGAGCTAAGACAAACAAAAAGCAAATGAATTGTAAATGAAGCTGAAAATTTTATCAAAATAATGATCCGCATGGAGTTTTTTGTTCCTGTTGTTGACAAACATAGAGACATGATGTTGATGATGATGATGATGATGATGATGACAACGACAACGAAAACAACGACGACAGCGACGCAGATGGAGAAGATGAAGATGAGCAGGCTACGCTTAAGATTTATAATAGTTTCACAAATATTTACACACAAATAGAACGAGAGTTGGACAAATAGACACACAGACGGACAGAGGGACAGATGGACAGATGAAGCAGCAGACGGCGACACACATACATATGAGCAAACATGTAATGGAATACGTTTAAGTCTAGCTATGTAAGATGTGATAATTGTTCTACGGCTAAAAGAAACAAAAAAAACCAAACCAACTAGATGAAAATTTATAATAAAAATGAAGAAAAAAAATGCATTAAACAAAACATAAGAGCAGAGCAAAACAAAAAGAATCTATAGTACTATTTAATAAAAATGACCACCATACCAGTAAAAAAAACGCGTGTTTTTATTATTCCTGGCTTTTTTTTTGGGAATTCTGTTTGGTATAACAAAACAAGCAGTAAAATTTATAGATGTAAAAAAAAGCAAAGGGTTTATTTTGTAACACTTTACTTTTCTAGGAATTTAGGGCTTAATTTGATTTGAGTTCGCGGCCAGGCAGTGCGAGTGAGTCAAAATATTGTTGCCGATATGGAAGACAGTATTGACTGCCTTTTTCCCACACCTTTATCACAGGGCATATTTTCAGAAAGCAGGGGATAGTTTCGAAAGAGTTAAATAAAACGGATGTATTCGACTTTCAAGTGCTGCACTTGTACTACAAATATTCACGATTATGTGTATTTTGAAAGCCCTTATGCGAGTAGGTGCTGGACTCGTAGACTTGCATTTAATTTTTGCCGCTCACTGACCCGAAAACATAGTCAACATGCACAAGTGCCCTATAACCATAATCGCCTGGCCATACTTAATTCAATTTTAAAGCCAATTTGGCCACTTTGGTTGCTTTGCATGGCATGGCATGGCAGCCATGTTGCGTCCTTCGATGCGTTGATGGCGCGCCATTTTTAATTGATTTTCCGTTTCAGTTTTGTGCACGCGGCGTCATCAAAGTATTAAAATGGCAGCAATCCAATTAAAAGTTTTAACGCAAAAAACGCTAAAAAAAAACCCGTACACACATATACGAGTACATACACATACATATATAAAAATATTTTAATATTCATGTGCGCAACATGTATGGAGGTGGTAGAAGAGCAGAGGCAATGGGAGACACAGACACAGAGGCAGGGGCAGAGGCGAAAACGGAGGCAGATAGACGACCACATAAAGCGGCTTTTCCCCAGAGCTTCACAAAACTGAACTAAATTCAAATTTACAAGCAGTTAATAAATTTCAACTATTCCATAAACGCATAGAAAGGTACAACACAGACCCCGGAAATGAGACTGGTTTGACGTCACACTTCGTCTCGGGGGCATTCGGAAATGTGGTAATAGCGTGGAAAGTGCGTTTAATACTTCAAATTAATTCCAATGAGCTCGCTGTAAGATTCAATGCCAAGCGCAAACTCTTCGCAGGGGCCTTGTATTTCTCCCAGTTCATCTTTAAATCGTCAGTTTGGTAGCAAAGTATTTGTATGAAGTATGAATTATACTTAAAGGAGGCAAGAAAATTTGTCCTAAATTTAAATTTTTTTAATTTATTATGATATTTATTTGTTTAGGTGGAATGGAAACAACAAAAAGAGTGTATATAGTATGTATATAAACAAGTGCGATTAGTTTTGTTGAATGTTCTTTATTCTCCACAAACATTTAAATATCATTAATCAATATTTTATAAGTTTTATTTTTTTGCTCATCAATAATGAGTTTTGGTTAATTTTTAATGTAAAACTTGAAATTAGTTATTAAATTGTGGGCGAATGAATAAAAATTAAAATTTACTCATTTAATGGTGAAAATGCATAGACAATCCATAAAAACGGATATTCCTCGCCTTCTCAAAGTTATTAAAAGTGAATGATTTCTTCGCTTAAAAAAAAACAAGCAAAATAAGCATTATTTTTGGTGCCTGATTTAAGCCGAGTGTATGTGGAGTTACAAGCTATTTGCCGTGCTGTTTTGAGCAGAACTCAAAAAATCATCAAACTTCTTCTCCGTGTGTGGCGACTCCAGTGGAAAATCGATAAGCTTCCTCCTGTCTATATCGTCTGCGAGGCAGCAGTGCATCACACCATAACTGGGCACCAGATGCAATTGCCCAAAGACACTGTCTCGCAGCCAGGGAATTTCATCGCAAATGTCCGTACATACCGAGTTCAGGTCCTCAAGGTTGGCCTGCAGTACACCGAGTATTATCTCCGTACAATTTAGAAAAAGGCATAGGAACAAGTCGGACTAAATTGAGACAATATAATACTTACGTAGGGTGAATTGTGAGCGACGATCACGAACTCTGAGATATCGCCCGTGGTGGGCTGAAGTGGACGCAAACGCGCCCAAATGTGCTCCGGCACTGGCAACGACTCCATTTCAGGTGTTCTGATAACCAAACTCCGTGACATGTTGCAGTTATGGGCCAATGGTAGTTTGGCCACACCCGAAACGCCAACTCGAATATCGTACTTAACAAAGTCAGTGGCGGCACTCAATGCATTGAGGAAGTGTTGCCAATTGCCCGAGCGCAGTCTACTTGACCAGACCACATTGAACATGGCACTGTAGCTCTTGACATCCTCTTTGAAGACCGGTCTCTCTTCCTGCAGCAGACTCGCGTATTCAAAGAAAATCGAGTTGAACAAGTCGCCTAGATGTGGCTGTTTTTTAACAAAACTATCGAACTGACTGGTGCTGTTGGGTCAAAGAGTATGGAATTGATAATGATAAATAGAAAGAGGAAGCTGGAAAAAATTCAACATCGAGCTCGAAAGAGAACATAGAGAGAGAGAGACGTAGCAAGGAAGCTGTGGGGTGAGTGGGAAAGTAAAATATAGTAACTTTCCAGGCTGTTGTATAACCCTGCTGGATGCCACTTTTTGTTTGGATTGTCCTCAGTCTTTTCGAAAATCTGCCCGTTCAGACGGACAGACAAGAAAATTACACACATCTGTGGCGCTTCCTTTTGAAGGGTTAACGGGATAAGAGCTTGCTCCTTGACGAATATTGGACTCGATTGAGTTTTGTTTTGCTCATCACTCACCTCACAAACTTGAAATAGTCACTAAGCTGGCCTATATAGGTGTCCAGTTGTAGCGCGTTCACTTCGTTGTTCCAGTATCCATAGCTGGCAGCATTGGACGGCGCATACGCGAGATAGCTGACAAATCTCACTTGATTGGTACGAAGATCAAAGCATATTCCAACTGTCTTGATGTCATCATCACCCTGCAGCTTGTAGCCAATGGCCAAATTCATAGCCTGCTGCGGACAGCCGGCCAGACTTTTGCGGCTCTCGTAGATGCTTTGGCTATATTCGGCATTGCACTTCACATAGCCGCTCGAAACTTGCATCAATTGCTTGTCTCCCAAGTAGATGCCGCCACTCTTACATACCAGCTCGGCTGCTGTTCCCACCAATTTGGTGGCCGCGTTGTATTCGCTCATTGCGCTGAGCCACATGATTAATTTTTAGCATTTGTTTTTTCATCGATTATCATAACTTACATGGTGAGACCTGTGGGACAGTGGACGGTGGCCGTCTCATTGTCCCGCAGCTGTAATGTGTCCAATTGCTTTCTCAGAAACAGAGATCGGGTACCGACCTGCTTGAACACCGTTGGCTTCGGCTGCCGCAAATGAAACTGACAAACAGCGGCAGAACCCGCCGCCCACAGCAGAACAATCAGAAGAATCGAACGCATGGCTCAAGCGCTGAAAGCGAACTGATGCTCGGAACCGCTTTCCGGCTTAAAGGCACTGAAAATAAATTGCATATCAAGGGGATCTAATGTAAACATATACGAGGTCTGTTCAAAAGAAAAGGTGAAGGTTGTGCTCACTGTTTTCTTCGATTACAATGCGTGGTGCCTCATGAGTTCTTGACCACAGGTCATCCGGTTAGTAAGGAATACTGTATATATAGTACTGTGTATATAGTATACCAGGTCTCTTCAAAAGGAGAGGTGAATTTTGAATTCGTTTGAAAAGTATTTATTTATTCATCAATATCCATCTTGTCCCCTTCAAAGCACTCTCCCTCAGATATAATGGCACCTATGTCTCCCTACGACTTTATCCTTTTCCCAAAACTGAAGAGACCAATAGAAGAAAAGCGTTTTGCCACAATTGATGAGAGAAAATCAAAATCTAAGAACGAGCTGATGGCCAAACCGAAAAGCGCATTGAGGATTGGAAGAAGCGCTTGCATAAAGGCATTATATCTGAAGGGGATTACTTTAAAGGGGACAAAATGGATATTAATAAATAAATGAATGCTTTAAAAAAAAATCAAAGTTGCCCTTTCCTTTTGAACAGACCATGTACATACATATGTATATAGAGCCGCAAGAGCTTCGCAATTAATCATTAAGTCGTGCGTACAAAAGTAATCGGAGATTGGCTCTCAGTCGGGTAAGAAAAAATATTATTATATTATCGCTTGTTGTTGCTATACTGTATACTGGCAGAACTATTCTTCTTCTGCTGATAAATGCTCAGGGCGATGTTTGTCTCTCTTCTCTCTTTTTTTTTCTATACTCTCAACCTTGCGGATCTTTTGAGTATTAGCTCCGTTATTCTCTTTCTATAGCGCGAGCATACATGTACTGTTTGTACATATGTACATAAGTATGTTTACATAAATATGTATGTCTGTACATATGTATTTATATAGTATAAGCTGCAAAACTAGTCTGATAAATTTTTAAATCAGAGATCACACGAAAAAATATAGACATCTCTGCATATGTATACATAAAGTATGTACATATACTTGTATGTATATTTATTTATGTATATTTATTCTATTCTATTTATATCTATTTCTAGATCGACAAAGTTAGTCATTGAGTTTCTGGTAAGTGTATGTATGTATGCATGTATATACTTTGTTATTTAATAGTTTTTTATAATGACTCACCATAATCTCAAATCAAAATCATTTCGTTATATTATATAGCCATCATACATAGAATTGATTAATAGGGCAAAAAATATTTTAGTTGAATGGAAGTAGCGGGGAAAAGTTAATAGCTGCCACTGCCATAGCTTATGAAGTTATGCTTAGAAGCGTTTGTTACAATTAGTTGGATTAAAGTGCATCAGTTTTATGAATAGAACTTGAAGATAGAAGCAGTCGGTGTAGAGCTATTACACTGATAATAAGTAGCGATAAACTGGACATGTTATAATTGAAATAGTTGAAGACATATTAATAATGTAAGTAATTTAAATTCAAAGCGAAATGGAAGAATATGGGTCTTATTTGATATAGGAAATGGTTTATTATTCTCCTTAACAAATGTATTGATTATTGAATTATGAATAGGAATTAACACTGATGTTGGCACCTATTTAGCATTTTGGAAGCTCAGGGCAGGGCTGCATTTTTAATGATTTATGTTAATGAGACTCTGTTAAATTTTTGCACGCTTGCTATCCGCTTACTGAGATGTTGAACTAAGGATCATTTAAAGTGCGAGCCACCACTTTGCCATTGCCTTTGCGTTGGCGTCACTTCGCACTCATTTATTGAAATACTTGGGCGAGCAAAGCGGCAAAATATTTCCCACAACAGCACAAAGCGGCGGAATGTCAAAGTCACTTTCATTATATGAAAACAGTCGACTGAAAACAAAGCCACAATAAGAACAACGACAGCCATTAACGCAAACGATGAGGACAAGGACGCATGCCAGCCAACGATCGCAAGGGGCCAGTGATGGGGCCCTACGCCACACCAGAAATTAAAAAAAAAAAAAACAAGCTCGCCTGAGGAAGGAAAAGGTATAGTTACCCAGTCGGGACTACCCTAATGAGGGTCTCACCACCATATTTCCTTACTTTCCTTTATACAACTTACAGCTGGCAACAATTTTGTTACCAACCAAGATTGAAATGACAACCAAGTTAGCGATTGCTTGAGCCACTGCCGGATACATCCCCAATAAGCTGATTCAAAGAAGAACACCTACTTTCTACTTTAACAGTACATATTAATCTATAATCGTTTTCGAGAAAAATAACATCTTAATTGAATTTAACTGATAATAAATAATGGATAGGTTTATTCTATTTTATTTTATTCAATTATTTATTTCCTCGACAAACAAATTTACTTAAACTAAATAAAACTAAAGAATATAAAAGCATATAGAAATTACAAAAATATCCAATAATGAATCCGACTCGGTGGTAGGATTTTATTTGCCAAACGGCCAGCTATGCCCCGATCCCCAGCAGAGAGTAGTCAGAGACATTATTAGACGTAACGAAAAAGAAATGGAGATGAAGAAATAGCAATAAAAATTATGGAGGTATGATTAGATGAAAATACTTAAGTAATAAAAGTTGAAAGATAAATAATTATAATATCTCTATTCTTGTATTCTACACTTACATTCTAAATTGTATTTCAAGCAGTCCGAACAAAAGCCGGTCAGGCTCAATAGCCACAGGACAGACGGACCAGGAGGGCTGGTAGTAGTATGTGGATAGATTTCATGTTTTCAGTTCCGACTGGGTAGCCTCCATGCACACAAAAACACCAACACACAAACATACCAGGGCAGGCAGCAAGCGACAAAAGAGCAAGGAATTTCTTGATTAAGTTATAGGAATGCGAAAAGCGGAGCAGCAGTCACGAATGTCGCCTTGTGGTGCCAGCTGCCTATCAGTCTTTGTATGTATGAGTGTGTGTGTGTGTGTGTGTGTGTGTGTGCGTTTGTGTGTGTGTGTGAGAGTGTAAGTTGTCGTCGGCCAATGGCGAGCGCGAAACTTCAAGTCAATAAAGCATCCTGATTAATGCCAATTTGACGTTACTTTTTCTTTTTGCATGAATTATGCATAAAAATCCAAAAAAGTGCGCCCCTCCCCCTCCCCCCAGAATATTGGGGCAACAAGAGAATTTAAGTTGTTTTAAAACGCTCGGCACACACGGAGAGGGAGAGCGATGGAGAGAGAGGGAGAGAGGGTGGGGGGAGAGGCGCGTCGGTGGACGAAGAAGTGAAGTATTGCTGAAGCTTAAATACCCTGCAGCATAAAGCAGAAAATGAGGAGCAATAATTTATTTTAAAATATGAAAATGCTAAATAGACGTGATGGGACCTAACAATTGTGTAAACAAAATGTTGTTCCAAGTCGCAGCTTTTGAATCTACCTTTATTATTATATGCTCTCTATGCCCTCCTCAATCAGATGATGCTGCACACCATGGCGGTCTTCAGCGAGAGCCCAATCCCAATACATACGTATACTTACGTATATAAAATAGATGGATCCCACATTCCAAAATGAAATGCGCCTCTTTGCCTTTTAATGCGAAAATGCGGAAAAGCTGTCATAAAAATGGAAGCCAAAAGAAAGGGGCAAAGGGGCGGGAGAGGGGAACGAGGCAACATCAGGCGAAATATGTGAATCTCTGTATAAATTTAATTTTCTTCTTTTTTTCCTGTTGCTCTGCACGAAAATTTCACATAATCAAATTTTTAAACGCAAACGATTTACGGCCTGACAGGTTCACTTATATGTACATACATATCTATATATGACGTGGGCCTGAAGGATGCGGCAGCAAAGAGCAGTCTGTCTTCAAAGGTGTACATGTGTGCGTGTATGTGTGTGTGTGTGTGTGTTTATTTGTGGCACGTACGCAAAGCGACGACATATGAAATATTAACAAATGCCCGCACAAAAGTCAAGTGCGTGGCGAGCCAAGGCAGTTCTGCATGCCGACGATGGTGATGGCGATGGTGATGATGATGGGTTCAAACGGGATAAGGGGCACGGCGCCAAATGTGGCAAGGTGAGAGAGAGAATGCGTTGCGATGCGTGGCGTGCCATGGCATGCCGTGGCATGGTGTAGATGGGGCCCAGTCGCGCAATTTGCCATCAAGCGTAAAAACAAATTTGCTTTAACGAGCATTGGCTTGGCAGGCAGGCAGGCAGGCAGGCGGGCAGGCGGGCAGCTAGGGTGTGGCGAGGCGGGTGTTCAGGGGTCGACTGCTAGCTGCTGTTTGTATATAAATTAGAACACATCAAAAGTTTGCGACATTAAATTCTTTTTTGCCACACACATACACACGCACACACACAGAGACACGCATGTGATTGGCAAGCAGATAAATGTTTTAGCAAAATGAAGACAACGCTGACAGTAATGATGCCTTGGTGAGGATGCCACCAAACAGCGCAACGTTCACTTCACTTTACGCATGAGAAAAAGGGTCCTTTGCTTGAATCTGCGCTAGGATCTCGGCACAAAGCACATTGGTCAACAACTTGCAAATATATTGATGGAAAACAAGATATGTATATAGTACGCTAGCAGCCAACCCAATTCCTTTGGGTCGCATTTAATTTATTTCCCAACATAGTCTTGGACCAAAGGCTTTGCATTTTGTTGATGGTACTTGTATTTTGTCAAAGTTTTCAAAATACGCATTCTCCTCATTGGAATCTGGGAATCTGAGAGTCGTTCTGCCATGTCGAAGGTAATCGAGGGACCCCAATTGTGTCTGTACTGACGAAAACGCGACAAATTTCATTGGCTTTTGCGATTTACAAATGAGATGTCCACAGTAGCAGCAATATATAACGTCAATCGTCAAGTATTCAGTCAAATATCATGAATTTTCTCAGCCATATTTGAGTAGGTTATTTACCTTAAACTTCTTCTATTGCTGGATTACTTTTACATTTTAGGTTTTTTAAATTATACTTTATTTATACTGTTAATACTTATTTACAATAACTTAATTAAAACTTAAAGAAAAATACAATTACAACTTAACTAGGAGTTGGTTTGGTCTTAATTAATTTGAATCTTAGAATCACACGATTTTAAAGTAATTTTAAGACATTTCCAGGATCGCACTTTTTATTAAAGCAGTGTGTTATCAGTTTTTGAAAACACCACGAATAAGAATATATCGGGCCAGATATAGACCATTTCAGTACACAAGAACATAATTACTGTCGCTGAACATTGCATCTAAATTTAAATTTCGATAGTATCATCGATGCTCCTATTTTTGTAAGCTTGCTACCCTGGTAGTAGGAGTTGACTGATAGTGTGGGAAAGAAGACCTTATAAATATAATTGCGAATAAAATGCGTAGTTTTGACTGCTCTTACATTTATGCTTGTGTGTATATATTTTATTTTTATTTATTTATTCGTTTATTAGTTGCCAGTGCGACAAGAGAAATTCTTATAAATTAATGCACTAGTCGCTAAATGAATGTACTAGCCGCAATAATTACCATATTTTCAAAATATAGTGAATTGCCATCAGGGAAGGTAGTTCTAAATATGTGTAAGCTTCTTTTCACCTTTTTTAGAGCACTGTGCAGCGGGGGTCGGGCTGATTAAATGTCCTTCATGCGAGCGTGCGTGTCTGCATATATGTATATACGTATATATGTATATATATATATATATATATATATATATATATATATATATATATATATATATATATATATATGTGTGTGTGGCAATGCGTGAAAATGCAATGGCGACGACAAAAAGGCGATTACGTTCAACACACGTTACACTCTCACGCACATTAATGCAATGTTTTAACGTATTACGTTACGCATACGCCGCGTGGGGCTCACACACACACACACAAACATGGCCTGACCGTCCTCTTGACTTTTCGCAGTTGTTGAATTCGAAATGCCTGAGTCATTTGTGCATCTCCCACAGCCACGCTTCTCTCTCGAAAGTGGTTTGTCGTTTTTCCTGTTTCTGTAGACGTTGTTGTTGTTGTTATTGTTATTGTTGTTGCTTTTGTTGTCAATGCATACAGTGTCAGTTTACAGCCTCTTACAGCTCTTATCTTCTGGTCTCTGCCTTAAATTAGTTAAATGTGTTTGCATGACTGCAATTTCATGGCAGGCCCGAATACCGCAGCTCCTCGTATTGCCAGAGCTTCTTTATATATACACACACACACACACACACATACATACATATAGCTGTATACCAATGCATAATAGGGAGAAATGGGCGCCCCACAAAAAACCAAGGCTATTCGACTACTTTTTAGGGAAAATACATATACGTATGTTCTCCTCAACGTTATGGGGGATTCAAGTCGAGCTCACAGAAAGGAAATGTTAAGTTGGTAGTAGGAGATTAGGCCTTACATTGGTTATCAGCCATCAATATTACAATATAACTATTCATCCATGATTAGGCTTCAACTATTTCAGTTAAATTGCTAAAACTTAGACATTTTCTCAACACAAAAAAAAAAGTGAACCCCTCCCGACCAGTTTTGATATGATATTATAGTTGGCAGCTTTACATTGTTCCAATGTTACCATACCCATTGAAGTGTTGCTTTGAGGCATTGCCCTCGCCAAATTATTCCTCTATCATGCTGGCAACAATGTTCGCTGACTTGTCAAACTACAATTAACAACGCCAAAAAGGAGAAAGCGACAAGTATGGATGCGGAAATGTGTGGACAGCCCCAAACGGGACAACAGCAGCGAGAACGCCAAGTAGCAAGGCGGCAACAGAAAGAAGAATTGGAAGTAGCGGCAAATATGGAGGAGCTCTCCTCCAACTCCACGGAGTTGGCAAGAAGTGTACGACTCTTGAGGAACTGGGTGAGTATCCATTGTGACACTCAAATGAAAATGCTCCAACTTGCGACTGTGGCTTCTCACGCAGAACTGCGGGCCGTCCGTGTGGTTCCATTGCCTGGCCATGCTGGTGCTGCCGCTGCTCATATTTTTTCTACTCAAATTCTACCTTCTGGAGAAGTGTTTGACCTGCAGCAAGTTGAAGGTTGATATTGTGTCGTCGGTGTCCGCTGTTCTGGCCGTTCACATCATGCTGCTGATATATATTGTGCGTGCCAATTGGCTGGGTGGCGGATTGGAGGCAGATCTGTGCTTCAAAGACGACTAGTGGCAGAGACAGGGCTTGTAACAGCCTGATAAGCGCAGAACAATTTTAATGTTGTTGATTCAAATAAACATATTTGTTGCTTACATACTTGCATGCATGTGCTTATCAATAAAATTGCTTATCAGCCAATGAACTCGGCACATGTGTATTGCGCAATTACTGAGCACAGATTTGACAAATTCCTGAAAAAGGGGAAGCCCTGGAATGAGCAACAATTCTGAAGGCTGCTGCTAAGCAAATTCTGCAATACGCCTTACATTTGTAAGTTATGCATCATGGTGGTCCGCTCTATTGATATACATACATACAAGTATGTATGTAAATGCTGCAAAACACTAGCCACGCACTGCTCTACACTAGAGTCGAAAGTCCAACCCGTTGACAAGTCTCTGTAACGGACTACAAATTTTTAAAGATTTTGTTCCCACTGGGTGACCAAAGAAACTTTGCATAACATGGTCACACTATTTGTATTAAATATTACCAAAGACCAATTTGAATGTTACTTGAATGTTAGCCCCATTGCCTTATTAAGTTGAATTCAATTTACCAACCAAAACCAAAGCCTACAACATACATACATACATATACAATATCTATATGTACAACGGGTATCAGATTTCTCCTTTTCTTTCGATATTCTACTTTATTTGAATACCTACTTCTATGAATATACTTAAAGGTATATTAAAAGATTGATCTGTAACACCAGTAGGATGATGATATATCCGGATTAAAGCCACGCAGCGTGGATTTGCCTTGCCGAATATACACACATATATATGTACTACATATCATACAAGTAAGTCAGGTCCCTAAAACACTTACTGCAGCAGGTATTTCCTTTGTTTTGGCTATGATCGATCAAAAAAAAACATGGCTCATTTTTTCAACTTAGCGGCGGACCATTTCCCTTTTTAATGATGATTGCCATTTAGTTTCGATAATGCCTATATTTTTGCTAATTGCTGCATCTAGCCTTTTCCAATAATAAATCGTTAAAAATAAAAATAATCTATAATTTTCCTTTAATGAGATTCTGATGGCTGCAGCAACCATTTGGAAAATGAAAAATATATTTCATCCTACTTTATTCTCCACTAAACTAGTTTCTTAATTCAATATTCCGACGCCAACATTTTTGCCTTACTAAGCTCAAGAAATCAGTCTAGACTCTAGACGCTTAATAAATAGTCGCTCAAAAAAAAACATGCTGAACATATTGTGTGGAATCGGCAATAAAATGAAATGAGTGAGAAATACGTAGATCAGCTTAACTTCTCCACGATTCTGCCCTTTAGCTTTAGCTTACATATTCCGAATTTGCGATTAGGAGCGCATCCAAGTCGTGATAAGCATCCGGCTATATAAGGCTTCGAAATGGGGCGATGTATTCAGTTTTAAATCTAATCGAACACAGTCGGTATGAATCTGCTGCATACGGTTGTCTTCGTTCTGGCAACAAGCCTTATAATACAGGATGTCAAGTCCGATTGCAGTTTGGAAACATCCTCGCCACGGCCACTACTAGTGACAACGTTTGGAAGCAAGCATTTTTCTTCTTCTGCTCCAGAAAATATAATGAACAGTGATGGCGAAGCATTTCGGTTACACTGCCCCAAAGGGTTTATGTGGAAAAGGTGGGCGTCGCAGTAAAGCTGCATTCTTGTATAACTGATTCGCTTACTTTACGAGTATAATATGTATAACAAAGCGGATTTGAAAAGTCCAAGCGATACTGAGCGATACGATAGTTTGGTGCTGGGAGAAATCCAGGCGCTCATCCACACAGTCTTGTCATGTGAAAGACTTGTTTTCGTTGTATACTTTCAAACATATGGGTACTGGACTTAAAATACTGAGCCCAAAAAGTCTGCCGTAGTAGTATTGCTCCATGTCCCAAACATTTCTATATTATTGATCTTTTCATTTTGTTCACGAATTCTTTTTGCTTTTTTAGTCCATATAACGGCTATAGAGAGGACGAAAGATATTTTGGAAATACAAATTTAGATCTCCGATGTGAATCAGGCAATTGGTATTGGCCGGATGATCAAATTTTTGTAGGAGTTACTGTTAAATGCGCATGCTCCCACTCAAGTGCAATTTTTGAGAGCCGTACAAGTTTGCCGGATTGCGAAAATTATATGACGCTCATATTGGGCCATCAATTGAACGAAACGGGTAGTTTAAAGACGATGGCAATGTGCTATGACCCTCTTGGACTTCAGTTGAAATATGTCAGCTATTTGGCGTATCCAATGAAAATCAGGATGCTCGAAGAGGTACACTCATACTATAGTATGTAAGAGAAAATGAAAATTCTTTGCTAAATAATTAGGTATTGTTGCAGAGACAAGGCGGGGACTTGAACTTACTGGGATTGGACATTGGCGTCGACTACACAAAGAGCTTCTTTAAGCAGCTAAGGTGAGTTTACTTTTAGTTAACCGACCCAAAATCTTTCAAAAAGGACTTCTTTCAGTACCGTTAATGTGAGCGAAGTATTGCGCAAGGATACGCAACTGGCAGAGCTCCTCAGCGCAGATACTTTCGAGTACGCCAGCTTGATTCAGGACAAGATATTTGCCAATGAACTAGTTGGCTATGAGGATATGTTTAATATTGTTTGGCTGCGAGCTCTGCGCAAGGGCATCTGGATGCATTGGCTTAATGATTTGCGGATAGCCAGTACCGGCGAAAATGCTCGTAAGTTCAATGTTCGATTGGGTGTGTCGGGTGTAGCCACAGTGCCACTGATGGATAAGTGTAATTATACACGACCGCTGAGCATCGAGACATCCGACGGCAACACACTCTCAGTGCCGGCGCAGATTTGGGCGCATGTGCGAACACTGCCCCCGGACCATGGCCGGAATGATACAAAATCATCAAAGGAGTTCGTCATTGTGGCCCACAATTCGCCGTTTGTAAGTCATTTGCTAAACAGCTAATCAGGGCCCACAAATGCACATTTCATTACAATTGATTGCAGTTCAAAGCCGAGGATTTAAATAGTTTCTGCACGTCAATGTGCAACGAGATTCCTTGGTTGCGAAACAGTTTTGTTGGCCGGCTGCAGCAATACCCCATTTACGGTTTGATGCAGTGTTGTCCAATAGAGGACGTCGCCAACAAGTTGGACAATCTTCCCAAGCCTGCTGCAAGAGGAGGAACCACAATAGCCACAACGGCACCAGAACCGAATAGACTCCTTTCCTTTTCTTTTTCTTTAGATGAGAATGAGCTTGAGGATGAGTATTTGGAAAATATTGGACCAGAACGTCCTCGTCTATTTGACATTTAAAACTACAAAAAAAAAACTCTAATTTATGGGTACTTTGAAAATTCGGAAAATTCGGCAACATACGGCTATTAAAATGAACTTATCTATATCGCTATGCTATGTTGATTAGAAACATACCTTTATACCTATGCATATATTGTAATTGTATGGTTTGCTAATAAATAATCACGTACCATCTCATTGAATTAAATAACTGACTAATACATGACGGCTGGAATCAGATATTTTATTGGATGTTTTTTTCATAACGGTGAAGAATTCATCCCCGACTTCGTTTTCCCACCTTGGCTTTTCTTACGGTCTAACGGTCCATACAAATAAACTAATGATAAATATTTTCTAATGGGGCTTGGAATCAGAGCGAACATAATTTTAGCAGTCAGCAACTACGGGGCCTGGATTATTCCTCCAAAAAATGCGAAAAAATAAACAATATTTCGAATATAATCGAATAAGCAACTATGTATTTTTAACTTAATTTAAAATTTTGATTAAATAATGCACGATGCATTTAAAAAATAATTTATGCATATGACCAATGAAAACACTTCAACAAATCCAACTCAGTTCCATTCTAAGGCGAAATAGTGCGTTTTAATAATGAAGATGTGGTCGACTTTGTATGGAATCATTTTTTTAGCTGCCCCCTGCCACACCCTTGCCTAATTACATGCAGTCTGAAACGATGTACCGTGAATTTTATCCAACTGGGAGTGTGAGTTATTCTTTTGTGGGTTAGTTGGTAATTGCGATTATGAATTGCGAAGCGAACGATGTACAATAAATACGCGTTTATATCGGAACAGTCGATTTAGAGACACTAATTATGACAATAAATTACGTTTCAACATTAAAATGTCGATTTTGTAAGTTTTGCAACGATTTTTTGAACCACCCTTGTGCATATGCGAGTACATACCTTGTGCCACTGTCGTCTGCACCGAGGCGTCGGCTCAGTTCCAAGAGAGTCATGTACTTAAAGAAAATATTTATTTGTATACAAATAATTGAATAAACAAAATAATATATCGATGGGTTATTAGGCAGCAACCTAAGCGTCGTATTGTCAGTTGCGTTTTTGTGGGCCAGCAGTGCGGAGCTCTGTCTATTATATGTCTCCGGCTACAATCCAGCGATCGAAGAGCAATCAATTGAGCGTTCCGAAATCGTCGAACGTGCGCCGCTGAGCTGCTTACAAAGTACCGCATTAGACCAAAGCAAGTGACAACAACAACAACAACAACAATTCAAACAGCTCCCACGACACCCACGACGTCGACGGCCACAATGCATTTGTATGTGGCCATGTGGGTTTGTGGCACGCTGCTGGCGTTGCTGCTCGGCTGGCAGCAGCGCAAGTGCTGGCGCCTCATTTGGCAGCTGAACGGTTGGCGGGGTGTGGCAGAGCAGCCGTTGCTCTGGTTCCTATTAAGCATCAATATGCATCCACACAGTTGAGTTTTGATCGTAAGTCCTTGGTCAAGTAAATAACTTGTGCTCCCACATTTCTGTTGCAGGCATATTGGAGAAGGTGACTCGTTTGCGCACCTATTTCCAGCGTCCGCTCGCCATACTGATCGGCACGCGTGCGCTCCTCTATATCGATGATCCGGCGGGCATGGAGTGCATATTGAATGCCCCCGAATGCCTGGACAAGACCTTCATGCAAGAGGGTTTCTTTGCGCGTCGCGGTCTATTGCATGCCCGAGGCCAGAAATGGAAACAGCGTCGCAAGCAACTGAATCCGGCCTTCAATCACAACATAGTCGTCAGCTTCTTCGATGTCTTCAATAGTGTCGGCAACCAGCTGATCGAACAGTTTGCCACAAAGCCCCATTTGCATGGCACTGCGGTGAAGTTCAAGGATGCCGAAGATATGCTCAGTCGAGCCGTCCTCGAGGTCTCTTGCCGTGAGTAGACCCACTAATAAGTATTTGTAGAAAGCGTTCGAGTCTTTCAATCTCCATGTCGTCGTGGCTGGCACGTTCGGTCCGTTTAGATGCGGGTCACGTACGCGGAACGCGGCACGCGGGACGCGACGACGCCAAACAAAGAACTAGTTTGTTTCGCTGGGCTAGTTGTGAAAGGCGTCCAAATTATGATTGGCAACGTGTGTGTGTGTGTGTGTGTGTGTGTGTGTATGCACACGTAGATATTTGTGTGTGTGTGTGTGTGTGTGTGCAATATGCAATGACAACTTTGACTGTTAGCCGAATTTTATTCATTAGTCCCATGAGTGGCGCCAAAGCCTCAACCAACCAAGCCCTAGTCGGGCAGTACTCAATTATTGTAACTAACTGATATATATCTGCAATGGGTATTCCATTCCATCGGAAGTGGAAAGCCTGACTAGACTACACTCAGACACGCAAAACTATCCTCACAATGAGGCCATTTAGCCATCAATTTAAAGCAATTGCGTACCAATTTTAATTATATTCCTTCGAGTATTTCACACTCAAATACAAATCTGATGTGTTTTGAAAACAAGTATATGCATAACTTTAATTCAAATTTTAATGACTATGCCTTTTTTTCCTTTTTTGTAGCAAAATTCATGTCTTTATATTTAGTAGTATATTCGGTTTTATATTTAGTAGTAAAATCTCTGGTTTCTCTTTAGTAGTAGATTAGTTGTATACAAGCGCCATCTATGGTCGTGGCTTGGCTACATTTTATACAAGTATGTTGGCGGAATTGTCAATGTCATTGGCCGCCTTGCACCAGTGTTGCCAAACACCTGGCCACAAAATACTGATTTTTAGTAAGCTTTGGCGGACACGAGCCATCTAGGCCGAGCAGTGTTGCTGCACCCCCAACATAATCCACTCCCAAGCTCTTAAAATTCTAAGATTCTGCTGGAAAGCATCCCCTTAGCATACCTATCTTCACGATATGTCCCAGGGCTGAGGTTCCTTCTTTAGTTAGCTTTAAAACTTTTCAAAGAACCGTTTTTAAAGTGTGAACTATCGAAAATCATAATTAACGCATATTTACATGACTTTTTTAAGCCAATAACTTGCAATCCTTTGCTCAATATCTCAATATCAGTTCATTTGAGCTCCGAACAATCAATAAAATCCAGCAGTAGATGTCGTTGTCAGAATTGGATATTCATTAATTAATTAGTTCACGCTGCTAAGAAGCACTTTTTTGCAACACAAGTACAAGTATTTCTCACAAATTTGATTTTGATTGCTTTAAATACTCGCGCTATTGATCCAAACTGTCTGACAGCTTTTTATACCCTGTACCCAAAGGGTACAAGGGTATATTAGTTTTGTGCGAGTGCACATGGAACACACAGAAGGAGGCTTGGTAGACCCCACAAAGTATATATATTCTTGATCAGCATGACTAGCCGAGTCGATATAGCCATGTCCGTCTGTCCGTCTGTCTGTCCGTCTGTCTGTCTGTCTGTCTGTCTGTATGAACGCAAGGATCTCCGAAAATATAAGAGCTAGAATAACCAAACTTGGTATACAGATTCTCCTGAGACCGAGAAAGGACGAGTTTGTGCATTTTTTCTGATCTACCCCCCCACTCCCCCCCTATTAACGATTTTCTATAACTCCCGTAATTCTTGGAATTTTGAACTAAAATTTGGTAGTCACATTAGGTTAGTAATTTTATATCCGTGTACCAAGTTTCATTATGATAAAATGATCGAAAAGAAAGTTATAGCCATATAACCAGGCCCAATGCACACATACATACATATGTACAAGTACACAAATGCAAATGTAAATGTATGTATGCATGCATGGAATATTTTATATTTAATTAGTTAATATTTAGTTAATTAATTAAATTAATTTAGTTAATTAATTTAATTAAATTAATTAATTAATTTAATTACTTTTTTTTTGGGGTGGTACAGGGTATTTAAGAGTTGAGCCTGCTCGACTTTAGCATTCCTTTCTTGTTTTAATTCTTCAGTGAACCCTAATGTCTAAATTATTTACTCACATAAATAATTATTGTGCAACGCAGTAAAAAACAATTTGGCCGATACGCAAAATTTTGTAGAAAACCGAAGAGCGGCTGAGTAGTTTAAAACAAACACCAATTGACTAAGATCGGAAGACAACATCTGATTTATGTTCCATAAGCATGCATTTAAATTTTTCAATCAGTGTTGATTGGAAATCGAAATATTGGCTGGTTTTTAAAAACCTAACTTTTTATTTCGTTTGATAAATATAAAATAAATTCTTTAAGTAACATGCATTTGCTTTCAGCTTGTGACATAAAGAAATAACATTTTACTATATATTTATTAATAGCTAAGTTTCAAAAGGAAGGATTCTGTTTTAAATAACATCAACAAAATGGCGATCCGTAAATAATGTGTCCTTCTTTTCAAATGTGGGAAAAGAGAAAATTTGAATTTGTATTCTTTTGAATGCAAATAGAATCTGTTCAGCTGTTGAAGGTGTGTCTATCTATGTGAACTTTTTTCTGCTGATATAAGCATAAATAAGGTTATAATTCCCTTATTTGATCTACAAAAATATACGTCACAATTACGTCATATGCCATACGCAATTTCCGATTCAATGCTGGAGGCCACAGGCAACAGCAGCGCATCTTCAATTATTTTGCTTGATGACTTAGTGAGCGTAAAGCATTTAGCAGAAATAGCTACAATATATTTATATATATATATATATATATACACATAGATATATGTAGACTACATACAAATATACGTGTATATGTATACATCATTTGGGCCCTTGGGCCATTTTGGCATCGCTAAACGAGCCGAATTATGTTGTCATCTGTGTTGGGCTCTGTGTTGACACTAAGGCGCTTGCTGTCAGTTGACAACTTTTTCACATGTGTGTGTGCCAGTGTGTGTGTGTGTGTGTGTGTATCTTTGGGTGTGTGAGTGTGGGCGTGTGACATTCGCTTTACGCCTCGTTATGTTTCATTGCAGTCACCATAATGGGAACGCCAACAAATTTTACGCAAGCGGATGACGCGCACATAGCCACAACCTACAAGCGGTAAGAATTTTCCGACATTCCTGCCCCCTCGCCTGGTATTTGTAATTACGTTTGGTGTTCATTACAGTCTTCTGGAAATCTCGGCCATAAAAATTGTCAAGCCCTGGCTGCAAATCGATTTTCTGCATCGTCTCTTGGCCCCGAAGCTCTACGCTGAATCGCAGGCCTGCAATCAGTTGTTGGTCGATTTTGTTTCCCAGGTAAGTCTCCCAGAATAGAATATACGATATGTTACGGCATAATTAAGGATACGCGGTTAAAGTCCGTTTTCAATATGCCCAGACAGCACGGTTGATAGGTAGATGAAAGACATATATGAATAGGCAGATACAATAGATCGGCGTATAGATTCACGAAAATATAAATAATACAACGAATTGATTGTAGACAAGATTAATAGATACATTATATTGTGGATTAGGTCATGGCTATATATATAAGACCATAGATTGATGAAAAGGTCATTCCTACGGCAGATAGTTAGATGATATTGTGAGAGGATTCAGATTAAGCTTCAAGAGACACTACAGAATGGACAAAAAAGGTTAAAATCCTATGTGAGCTATTTATACATACATATACGTAACTGGACAGAATAATCTATACTAATATTATAAAGAGGAAAGATTTGATTGTATGTTTGTTTGTTTGGATTAAAAAGGCTCCGAATCTACTGGACCGATTTAATGGATTCTTCCACTGTTGGGAAGCTACACTATCGACGGTGAACATGGGCTATATTACAGAACGGACAAAAAACAAGGGAATCCTTACTAAAACGCCAATAATGTAACCAAAGGTGTAAAAAAATTACCTTAATAAACTCCTGAATAGCATGCTGTTAGTTCATAATCATCCTCGAAATATTCTCACTTTAAATATAAAGGCAATATTATTCAAAAGCCCGCAGCCAAAAAAAAAAAATACAAATCGAAAGACACCGTTACGGTTACGGATGTTGACCTATCACGGGTCGGAGCTTCTGAAAATCAATTTATTTTGCTACCACAAAATAAAACATCAAATATCTTTTACAGAGAACCTCTGACCTAATAAAGAATAACAAAACAATCTAAAAACGAACAAAAAATCATTAAAATAATAATATCATAAATATAAATTTCACTCCTTCTTAGCAACTCATAGCAAAAAGAAGGGTGTATGTGTGTTAAGTGTGCGTGTGTTTCAAAATTTATAATTTTTAAAATTGTTGTAGAAATACCCGTGCGAAGCAGGAGCAGGACACTAGTAGGAATATATATTGTTTATAAATTTTTTAATTATTTATATATTTTTTCAAAAAATTTTATGTAGTTAGTTTTCAACTTCAGCGTGTAAACAATTAAGGCTTTACAATCTATAAAAAACGAAGCTTTTGATGAATTCATAAAGGACAAATTAGTAATAGCATTAGAAATAAATATTGAGTTTTTGTTATTTATGGTTCCGGATTTTACTAAACTGATGAGAGCTCAGTCAATGCCCTGAATATGCGCCATTATTCTTGATGACTTTTTCGATTTCTGCAGACATAATGGATACCAACTCCCGACAAGTCTCTACAGGAATGCAATAACAAACTTTTCAATATTTTCCCAAGAGTGCGTTTTGGGAAACGTTTAGATTCGTTTAAATTCTCCCCAAAGGTTCTCAATACTTATGTACAATACACGAACCACTTGCTTACAGATTGTTCAGAGCAAGCACAAGAAGTGGCAACTACGAGCCGCTGGTCATACACAACTGGACGGGGAGCAGGAGACATCGTCGGAGCCCTGGCAACGTCGCATCTTCATTGAGCAGATTTTCAATTTGGCCGCCAGCGGGGAGCTGACATTGCAGGATATTGAGGATGAGGCGCAGTCGATGGTGTTGGTGGTGAGTGTTGGAGTGAAATTTTAGAACTGAATGCCCTTCACCAGCCACTGCCTTGCGCGTCGTTGCTCGTTGCAGTCCTTCGAGACCGTGTCCAATAGCATTATGATTGCCCTTCTCTGCCTGGCGGCACAGCGCGACGATTGCCAGAGTCGCCTGCGTGCCGAAATTGCCAATGTGCTGCCACATGGCGGCGACAGCAGCTACATTGGTACCGAGCTACTGCAGCGTCTGCCGTATCTGGACGCCTTTGTGAATGAGGCGCTGCGCCTGCTGGCCACAGTGCCGATGAATCTGCGCCATGTGAGTCGCGACTTTCAGTTGGCCGGACGTGAGGCGATTGTGCCGGAGAACACGATCATTGTACTCGACACCTTCAGTATGCAACGGGATGAGGCCTGGTGGGGTGACACGGCCAAGCAGTTCAACCCGCAACGATTTCAGCTGGGCGAGCACCTGGACGAGCGGCTGGGGCAGACAGCATCGCCACAGATGGACAACAAGTTGCAAACAAAAGAGCGTCGGCACTCCTACAGCTTCCTGCCCTTCTCCAAGGGACTACGCACATGCATTGGTGAGTGGCAGTGGAATACTGAGCAGGGCCTTTACTGCATCTGCATCTACTTCTTCTTCTTCATCCTCTTCTGCGCAGGTCGCCACTATAGCTTCTTCATTATGAAAGTGTTTCTGGTCAAGCTCATTTCGAACTTTGAGTTCCGGACGGATCAGCGGCTGGAGGAGCTGCAGTTTGTCGAGGGCATCTCGCTTAAGTTTCGCAATGCCGATGACATCACCTTCCAGATCCGTCCACTGACCGGCTTGCCGAATAAGAAGACCAATTAGCTTATATCCCTGACTGTTCAGATGGCCTCGAAAAGGATAAGAATACAAATGATCTATTCGAAGTTCTTTTGGGCCATCGGCTTAGAAGGTTCTTCTCTAGCGAAAACCCTCCTCGAATACAGACAACAACAAATTAATTAGATCTTTGTAAGGTTTTGGAAACTACGAGTATTATTATTAATGATTTTTTTTTTCTGTTTTTGTTCAACAATTTTATTTAAGAGCTACGTGTAATAAATATTCTTATACATATACAAATAATTAATATAAGTTATATATCACTTGACAAATTTAAGGCGCCACTCGCAAGCGAAATTTGGTTCCTCATTGCCCACCCAGCTGACGCAACTGGTCGCGCCAATGCTGCTCCATACGCTCGGTAGCCCGCTGAAGCTCCTCCACACTCATCTCGGCGCGTTGGGTGCGCTGCTCGCTCTCGCCCAGACGCTCCTGCAGCTGCTGCAGTTGGCGCTCATAGGCGGTCAGCTGCTGGAACATATGCTCCGACGCCTGCTCGACACATCGCACACTTCGACTGGCCTCCTGAAGCTCTGTCTGGAGCGTTGCTTTGGTGGCCACCGCCTCCTCCAACTGCTGTTCGCATCGTTCGAGTCGCTCCGCCAGCGCCGCCGCCTGCTTACCGCTCTGCAATGCCGTATTATCGGAGTCCGCTGACTGGCGTTGCATTTTCGCCAACTGGCATTGCAATTCCTCGATTTGGTCGGCCTGGTGCTGATGCAGATGCTCCAGGGCCTTGCGCTGACGGTCACTTTCGAACAGCGTTGCATGGGCATCGCTCAAGGCGACTGCCTGACTGGTTAGCTGTTGCTGCGTCCGCTCCAATTCGCACTCCAGGGCCGTGTTGTGGCGCTGCAGGCGCAGGTTCTCCGATTCGGCCTTGCTGCGGTTCTGAAACTCGATGGCCAGCTTCTCCTGGCATCGGGTGTAGTCCTCCTTGTGCTGATCCAGATCGACTTTGATCTGCCGTATCTTATGCTTTAGTGCCTCGAGTATAATCGACTGTCTGTTCTGCACTGACATTGTGATGGGTGGGTGGGTGTGCGAGTAAAGGACGACGTAATTTATGGAAATGTAAATGAGTGTGTGTGTGTGTGTATGTATGTGTGTCTGATTTTGTCTGTCGAAAGTGTACTGAGGTGCCGACCCCTGACTGTTGATTTAAGGGTAAAGGATGAATGATCAAAAATTTTAATTGGAGTCGTCGCTGGGGTATTTCAAAATTCTTCAATACGCTAACCACAAGGGAGAACCTGCTTATCCCGTTGCAGCCCTCTTTCCCGCTATAGCCATTCAGCTGTAGATACCGTTATCAATTTTTCTGCGTATTGATAAGACAAGTCCACATAAAAAGGCCTTCTGCTATACGGTATAAACTTAAATAGGAAGGCTACCCTTGAAAGGGAAAATATTTTGATCATCTAGCTAGCTCTTACTGAGTCTATCAATATATTACTTCAACAGAAACTGTTTGTTACCGTTCAGGTGGGATTTATCTACATAACTGTGTGAATCCTAGCCGAAGGTCAAAAATGCAGCTACAACGAAAAACTCCATACAGTAGAGACCAACCTCTTTGGCACAACATTTTTGGTGAGCTCATTCGGACTGCATCAAGCATGTGTTAAGAAAATACATGCCTTTATCGTTGCCTCTTGAAATACTTGTGTACTATATTTTAATTCAAGTTTTCAAATTCGTGTTGTCGTTTTTATTTTTGACAAGTTGCCCATCAGTAAAAAGTGAAATGCATATTGTTTCCACTTCATTTCCAACAATTATTTATCATAGACAAAGCAGAACAGTGTAACTAACAAGCCATGCACACAGATGACAATCAAAATAATAATAATAGTCTTGGTACTGAACTTTTGGCAGCAATTTTGTGGATGTACGTGTATGTGTGTATATACTGCAAATGACCTCTAAAGACCTTGCTGTGATTTTAATTATTGATGCATTAAGATATAAACTGGGAAAGGCTTCGTTGAGCTAGTCAAGACTGTTCCTGTTTCCGAGTTGAACTAAATCAGTTTAATTTATCTCAATTCGATTCCCTCTCCATATAATTGTGATGAAGTTCATTTGAACTTTAGACTTATATTTTATACAAATTGGAAAACATAGTCAATTCGTTTCAACAAATTTAATCGTAGGTGCCTTTAATGCGATTCCACATTATCCTTGAAGCTTAGAGTGTAGCGATAAAAGCGAGTTTTTCTTTTTGGTAATCAGCTCGATACAGTGATTATTTCTAATCGGTATTAGTTTATTTCATCTTTTTTGTTATTTGCTTTAACTTTATTATCTACTTGATGAGCATTGGCTGAGATGCCAAAGTTTTCAAAAGGTTTCCCACTGTTTTGAATATTTGGCACAAAAAGCTTTTGTGCTTTTAGGCGAAAGCTTATTGAATGCAACAACCCTGTCGACTCAACTGCAGATGGCGTTGCTGCATGACAATAAAGTCCCGTTGAAGCGCAGGGGAACGCAGGGGGAGCTTCAATCTGGTTCAGATGCTGCAATCCAGCTGGTGCCTGAAAAGCAGCTTTTTCTTTTTGAACTGAGCCGCCGGCCCATGAGGCAAATCGGTGCTCAGCCATTGCTATACAAGTACAAGTATGACTTATAGACGATATGAAAAATTGCGCAGCTGAGTCTTTTGAAAACTGCGCACACGCCCCAGATTGACAGCCCAAGTCAATTAACATGCGTCAAGATTATTTTAGACACTTAGACTAAGGCAACATGCCAGTTGATTGAGAAATTAAAGCGCAGACCCAGCCTACTTGTATACACAGTATACTAGTACGTCTGACAACCTTTAACCTCGGCCCGTTCAATGCACTGCATCCGCATTTTCCCAGTCGATGACCGTCAGGGGTAATAAGTGCATATATAGGTGCACTATTGGCTCACAAACCTCATTCGAACGTCGTGTTGGATGTTTGTAGCACATTAAATAGAGCGCGTATTGGGGAGTTCAAGTATAGCCAGTACAGAATGGCAACCACAATGAAACTACCAGCCATGTTGCTGGGCGGAGGACTACAAGCAACACCCATTCCAACAACGGCGGCAACTGCTGCCCTGCCTAGATCCGAAACGAAGCCAAGCCCCGAACCTGAACAGGAGCAGCAGCGCAATTTGGATGAGGAGCAGTATCTGAATTTGATACGCAAGATCCTGTGCATAGGTGGGCTAAGGCAGAGAAAATAAACTTGTATACTCTCTGATGGGGATGTACTTGAAAGTCTCTTAAAGAGAGTGTTACAGCACGCATCTGGATTATTCTTTAATTTAAATGTTGGCCTTTATTTGCAGGAGATCATCGCATCGATCGGACCAAGGTAGGCACCATTTCGATATTCGGCGCTCAGATGCGCTTCGATCTGCGCGATCGCTTTCCACTGCTCACCACCAAGCGCGTCTTCTGGCGCGCTGTCGTTGAGGAGCTGCTCTGGTTTATACACGGCAAGACGGATGCCAAGCTACTGCAGGCAAAGAACATACATATCTGGGATGGGAATAGCAATCGTGAGTTTCTCGATCTGTGCGGTTTTACGGATCGCGTCGAGGGCGACCTGGGGCCGGTATATGGCTTTCAGTGGCGTCACTTTGGCGCCAAGTACCGCGGCTGCAGCGACGACTATTCCGGCGAGGGAGTCGATCAACTGCAACGCGTCATACACACCATACGCCACGATCCGAACGATCGACGCATGATCATGTCCTCGTGGAATCCATCGGATATCCCACAGATGGCACTGCCGCCGTGCCACTGTCTGGCCCAGTTCTATGTGGCGCAGGGCGAGCTATCCTGCCAGCTCTATCAGCGCAGTGCTGATATGGGTCTGGGTGTGCCCTTCAACATTGCATCCTATGCGCTGCTCACGTGCATGATCGCGCATGTGACGGGTCTGCGACCGGGCGAGTTTGTGCACGTCACGGGCGACACCCATGTCTATCGCAATCACGTTGATCCTCTGAAGGAGCAGCTGAAGCGCAAGCCTCGTCCCTTCCCCAAACTAAACATTCGGCGGCAGGTGCAGAATATAGAGGATTTTCGCTTCGACGACTTTGAAATTCTCGACTATCAGCCATATCCCAAGATCCACATGGAAATGGCCGTTTAGCTCGGCAACTACACCGTTTCGTATATATAAATTAATTGGATCGGTGTAGTGTCATCCGTACATCCGACTATTATTCATTATGATTAGGACAATTTTTTTTCTTTTTTTTGCTAGACTATAAAAAACTATCCTAAACTCAATAATAAACTAAAATACTAAACAAATAAACACTCAAAAAATATTGAAATTCGAGTTAAACAGAAGGAGAAGGACTTTCTCACTAATGAGGTGTGAAGACGTTGCTAGCAAGCGAGTGGCCTTCCAAAATTTGGTAACACTAGCTCTACGATCTGTGTTCAGGCGGAGGATATATGTAGAAACCAAATGTAAGCTAAGCTTCATATTCCAGATCGGTTGCAGCAGCTCTGAGACTTACGAATGTACTACGTAGTCGTATATCATGGCCGCTGTTCTCCTAAAAGTTTGCTACAATTTGCAACACTTGGCACTTAATGCTCCAGTGCCAGACAATGCCGCATGATAATATGCCACAACTGTCAACAATAGTTCCGTTCTGCTGCAACTTGCCTCGTCTCACTTTTCTGTTCTGTTCTGTTCGGTTCGGTTCTGTTCTGTTCTGTGAGCTTGACAAGCAAGCTGCGCGAGCACTCTGTGTCCTTGACTGCATATGTGTCACAGCCAGGTCCTCTTTCCCGCGAACTTGATGCTTTTTGGACAAGAGCACCGACGCAGACGGTGGCAGCAACGGCGACGACGACGGCGATGAGGAACTCGGGTACATATCATTGTCAAAAGGCGAGCCCCCACCCCCACCCCCACCCGCGACTCAACTCGAGTTCAGTTGACTTGTCTAAAGACTGAGCGTCCAACTGTCGGCGTCGTCGTCTTAGCATCCGAGGCAGCATTATTATTTGTGTACCTGCACTGTAAGCAACTGGCTCAACTACCTAAATTCATTTCGATTCATTTCAAATCATTTCACTTACGTGTATACTATCTACATATACATATATACATATGTATATATGTAGCTTTCAAAAGCCTGCATGCATTCGATCAAGAGTCAGATTCTAAATCTGAGACTGTTCCCCATCCCGCTGCCAAACAACTTCAAATTTCTGACAACTAATTGATGATTAGGTGCGACTATGAAAGGATGTACACTACAAACAAAATTTGTATTATTCGTGCTGTTGTTCAGTTGTTTTTTTTCTGTCATTGCAGTTAATGTTTCTACATAATTTGAACAATAAAATGAATTAATTACGACATGTTTAATAGGGAAGAACGAAGTAAATGGAGACTTGAACAACTTTAGGATATCTTTGAACCATTTAACACATGAATTGATTCATTCACAATTGAGCTACCAACAAAAATATGTGCTTTAAAAATTACTATTAAAATAACTATTTAAATCGACGCAATGTATGCTTGAGAAGATGCCAACTTAGCTTAAGAATCATAGAGACCAAATCAAATAGGTTGGCAGGTCTATTTAAGCTCTTTCTATCCAAACAAAGAGGGGCTTTCCATGAAGAAACCAAAGACAAAATCTTTGAAGTTTTTAAACTAATGATTACATATTATGGGGGACGAAATTTAACTTACACTTAACTAGAGCTGACTTTTCAAAATTAGAAATATGCGCTTATAATGCTAGTTATAATTTATTTCGCGTTAACTAAAATGGTAATAAAAATATTTCAAATGAATTGTACTATATGTTTGTGTTTTTTTTATATATACAAGTATATATTATTAAGAGGAACTTTCGTTAACTAACATCGACAAGTGAATTCCTTTATTTTTACAAAATTTGGAGTGGGAGCAATAAAAAGAACTGAACTATGACTTTTGTAATATATGTACATATGTATGTATTTGTTTGTAGATGCAGATTGGAACGAAAAGGAGTTACTTGTTCGCCACTGAATTGTTTTACAAGTGTACTACGAAAGCAATTGACAACAATTCTAAGTACTTACTATGAGTTAATTATTGAAAAATCAAACTCAGTTTTTATAAATATAAAAAACCTGTTATAATATCGCAAAGGTACGAGAAAGGTATTGCTAGAAACATTAAAAGATACGTAGTTCTAAAAAGAAAAGCCAATGCTGGGCATTTATATTTTTTGCTCAGCATTTATTGGCCAGACTCGTTGCTAATAGAGAAACGGCTGGTCTTGAATGCATTTCTCGCAGTGTGCTGCACTTGGTGTCTGTGTGCTGCCTTTTTGCCAAGCAAATGATGCCGTCAACACAGTCATTAGGTGGCAGGCAGACAACCAGGCTGGCGGGCAACGGGGCTGCCAGGATGGCAGCATGGCAGGTTGGCTGGTTGGCTGGTTGGCTGGCAGGCGTTGTGCCTGTTCTTGGCAATGCTGATGTTGTTGTTGGCATTAACTTGACACTTTCGCCATGGCCGTGAGGCAGTCTCAGTATGTGTCAGTGCCTGTGTGTGTGTGTGTGTGTGTGTGTGGAGGTGTGTTTGTGTGTGTGTGTGTGTGTGTGTGATGCTTAAGAGCGTGTGCAAAATTTATAACTGTAAAAGGCACTTGAAACACACTCACATGGAAATTTGCTTGCATTTTTGCTTTGATTAATGTGCCGGCAAAAATTGCAAGAGATAATATGTATATACATATATGTATGTACATATGTATGTATGTATGTATGCATGCATAGGTGTGGTCATACAACAATACACACAGCAACGCTCCCAACAATATCCAAAATTGTAACTAATTGTAATTAAAGCGCCACTTAATTATTTTTGCAAAGCCCTCACCGACTCTGAAAAAGGCAGCAGACCCGAAGGATGCCGAGTGACTGAATGAGGCGGCCTCTTGACAACAGATGAGAGAAATAATGTGAGAAATGTCGGGCAAAGGGAAAGTATGTATATAAAAATATGTATGTGACGGCTACTTTGAGAATATTCCGACACTTCTGGCACAAATATCAATAGCCGAGGAGCATATGAAAAATCAAAGCATTCTATGCCCCATAAGCATATACACGAGTACTATACTTGTATACATACATACGTAGATCAGTGGAAAGAAAGTGCATTTCATTTTAAAATTCAGTAACCAAATGCTACCACAAATTGTTATAAGCATCTGCTCTAATAGTTCCGATTTTGTGCAGAAATAGTTTTAATAGTTGACCATTGAAGGCGAGTTGAAAGAATAAAGAAACATTTCTTCATGCGTTGCATTCAAATTGAGAATTGAGCCTATTCTTCGAAACTCTAGTCCTATAGAGTAAGAATCGATTTTTGTTATTCAAAACGCAATCGTATGATGTTTGAAACTATTGTAGGGCATCCATTTAATTAGCAATGAGGGGTATTTAAAGAATTAGTGTTCAACATTTTTTATATTTCAAAAGATTTCTTCAATTAGTATTAAGTACAATCGCGTCTAGTACAAATGTTCAGAGTCTTTTTATACTCTGTACATGAAATGTACAAGAGTATATTAGGTTTGCGGGAGCTGAAAAATGTAACAGGCAGAAGGAGGCGTGGCAGACCCCACAAAGTATATATATTATTGATCAGCGTGACAAGACGAGTCGATCTAGCCCTGTCTGTCTGTCTGTCCGTCCGTATGAACACCTGGATCTCAGAGACTATAAGAGATAGAGACACCAAATTTTGCACAAAGATGCGTTATGTGTGTATTCTATACGAGTTTGTTTTATTTTTTTGATTTTCCCCCCCACTTCCCCCCTATGGGGGTTTTCCCGATTTTCCATTCGTATAATCGCCTATATCTCGGAGACTATAAGACCTAGGAACACCAAATTTTAGTCCAAGACGCCTTGTGTGAATACGCAGAAAATGTATATTTTGGAATTCCCCTCCCTCCCCCCTCTCCACCGCCAATGCGATTTTCTCTAACTCCCGTAATTCTTGGAATTTCGAACTAAAATTTTGCAAATACCCCCAGTTAGTAATTATGTGTCCGTATGCCAAGTTTCACTATTATAGACCGATTCACCAAGAAGTTATAGCCATAAATATATTTGCTGCTGCAGCGCTGCTCAAGCGCTGCCCGCGGCTGTTGTTGATGTTGCTGTTTGGTTGACTGCGAAAATGCTTACACAGACACGAATAGATGCGCATAGGCATACATACACTCACACAGACGCAATTGCTATGTAAATGTGCAATTATACACCCTTTACGTGAGTTCGAATACCGAGAGAGGTGAAATCGATCCAATTTTTTTTTCTTTTTTTTTTTTTTATTTTCTATAATTATTGTAAACATATGTACAGAGTATTTCAAAGTCGGGACACCCGACTTTAGCTTTTTTACTTGTTTTACTTGAAAATTTGTCGATTCATCTTAACTTGCTAATCAGCTGTGTACATACTATATGTTAGATATGTATGAGAGCGACGCTGACCTCTGCCTGTTACATATACTTGTTGTTAGTATGTTAATTTGAAGTAGCTTTCCTAATGCACCCTTCTTCAGAACATATGTATATTTTAATGCCTTGCACTTGACAATTAAAAGAGATATATTATATATATTACCATTTAAGACATTTTAACCACTATGCTACTTAGCCTATTTTAAAGACCTAAACAATCATAGCTTAGAGCAGCACAAAAGACGTACAAAAATAAAAATGACTATATAATACATGTATGTATAATTATTGATATATATTTCTAATATGTAATAAAATAAATTGTTATAAATTTATGTAAATTCCACAAGAAATACGTTTTTTTTTATCAAACTGCTAGCTGGGTTTTCTCAATTAGGTGCTGGAGGTGTGTGAATATATGTGGGGGGTTCTTAGAGCCGGCACTCGGCACTCGCTTCATAGATCCGTCTAGTGGTCGTACCAAGTTTCCATGTTTCCATGGTTCCATGGTCTGTCGAATGCAAATCGTGCTGAATTGCATTTTGCGCAGCCAGCAAATAAAAACAGCATTTTCGTTTTTCTCTCTCTACAATTTGCTGCTGCTGCTGCTGTTGTTGTTGTTGTTTTGTTTTGAGGCACCCACAGGGCAGCATTATGAATAGTTTCAGCAACTATGAATGACTACCTATTTGTTGTTGTTGCTGCTACTGCTGTTGCTGCTGCTGTTGAACGAGGCGTTGATAAATGTTGCAGACACCAGCAAGCAGAGGCAACATTGTCCAGTGTCACTGGCAACGCCAACACCAACACCATCGCCATCGCCATCGTCATCGCCA